CGACGCTGCGACGTCAGCCATGGGCGTCGTCATGGAGACGCGCGTGCCGCAACGACAGTGACAAATGACAGACAAAGGGTGACCGGGTTCCTCGTTTTACATATGCAGCGACACCCATTTGTCTGCTGCCGGCCCCCCGAACATACCCCCCTCGTCCCCCATTCTCATTTCGTCCCTTCAGTTCCCGCGTCTTTGCCAGGGAAACGGCCGGATGTGGGGGGATGCTTTTATTCGGTCATGTGAATCCCCCACCACCTCGAATGGTCCAAAGTGGGGGACAGGGGGGTAGCTTGAGGGATGTCCGGTCTTTAATGGTTTTCTCTAGCGGGTCCAGTTTTTTTAAAAGCTTTCGAAAAAAAGGAACTATTTTAATTTAAATGAAAAAATAAAGAAAAAATTAGCTCTCTGTTTTCTTTCATTTTAGCACAGAATATCTAGAGCTAGATATTCTGTGATTTTAGGCTTGGTGCATTTCAGTTGATTTCAACAATGTAAGAACAAAATTCAAATTTCACCAGGTATATTATAGTTCATAAAATAAATTTTTAAAAGTTTCTTATCTTCTCGCAAATAGCGGTATTTTGCAATAGAGTGAATATGTATCTTTATGTGGATAGACACATTTTTTTCTTCATATGAATGTAGTATCTAAATTTGATTATGTATAGTATAATGTTTTTCAAGAAAATATTTTAACTTCTATAGGGTTGCTCAAAAAAGTGTGAGTGAATCAGGATGATTTTTTTAAATGGAACACCCTGTATATTATTGCATTTTTGACTTCCTTTCACAGATCACTTTACATAATCCTAATATACGATATTATATGAGTAATTATATTTCGATGGTTTCACGTTTCACAGATATTAATAAAAAAATAAAAAATAATTTTTTTTCAGCACTTCTTAAAAGAATTATTTTACGAATACAAGAAATGTCCTGAAATCAAAACTATATTAGGTATCTACTTTAGATGGTCTGTACTAACTTTGCTAAAAATATGGTAATCGTAAATTATACAGGGCGTTCAAAATTCTACGCCAAACTTTTTAAAATATAACATAATTTTTCTTCGTTTTGTTTTAAATATGGAATAGCCTATATATTATTTTCTTATTATATGGAGAATTAAAAATGAACATTTTTTGTATTTAAAGTATTTAAAATTTTTAATAGTTTCGCAGATAGCAAGCAGTATTATTTCATATGGTTCTTTCATCAGTAAAATACGAGAGAAAAATCATTGGGTGGCTTTGATATAAATTTACTGTGGAAAATGCCATATGAAATGTAAAAACGCGAATATCTGCAAAACCGTTAAAATTTTTGAAGTACTCTAAATACAAAAAAATGTTTATTTTTTAATTCTCCATCTATTGAAAAAATAATATACAGGGTGTTCAATTTAAAAAAAACAAGAAAAATTATTTTATATTTTAGAAAGTTTGGCGTAGAATTTTGAACACCCTGTATGACTTACGATTATCATATTTAGAGCAAAGTAAGTAAATACCTAATATAGTTTTGATTTGAAGACAGTCCTTGTATTTTTAATAAAAATTTTTAAAAAAGGCTGAAAAATATATATTTTTATTTATTTATGAATATTTCTGAAAGCATCGAAATATAATTACTTTATATCTTAGGGTTATGTAAAGTGATCTTAAAGGAAGTCAAAAATGCAATAATATACAGGTTATTTAAAAAAATCATCCTGACCCACTTTATAGGAGTTAAAATATTTTCTTAAAATACATCCTCGAACATACTTTGAGTTTACACTTAAACAAAATTCCCAAATTTTTTATTCTAGGAGCTACAGATGCCAACACACTATTGCTGAACCCTGTATGTATGTATCTTTTTAATAAAAAAGGTATACAAAATAAACACAATGTTACAAATATAATCCAAAATTTTATTATGTATCTAACAAAGTTTCCTTAAAGAAAATAAACACTTTTTTCACTTCATCTCTGCATATATCTAAGGCTGTTTTATATTGATCTATACTAATCTACCCTCGGTATGGGAAGCAATTATATCTCCTTTATTAAAACAAATACAAACATAGCTTTAACCGAAGATTCGTTAATGGGAGGCGTAAGAGTTAACTCTTCTTCTTTTGTTAAAAAGTACGAAACGGCACCAAATAGAAATTTCATATCTATACCTGAATCCAAACAGGCCAAGCAGACAGCGTTTATAGCACACGATATCAACTAAAACATGAATATATTAATAGAAAACATATTTTTAACAATACAAATATTACCTGTCCTTGATTCTTGCGTTTCTTGTAAATTTACTAATACCGCAGTCCTGGGATATAGAGCTGAAGCTAAAGCTGTTTCACAGATATTTTTAATAAGATATTCTTTGTATCTATCTGACACTCCTGCAAAAAAATTAACAAGAAGGGATGATTTTTATTTATTAAAACGAATTATAAATATTTAATACCTGGTAGGCCAGATTTTGGTTTAAAAACAGACTCAACTGAAGCTTTTTCGATTAATAGCTTTTGCATTTTTACCTCGACTGGTCCGTAGATAGCCGACAGAACTACAGTTTGGCCTACAATAATTATTAATAACTCAAATAATTTAATTGTATTAAAATAAACATCAAAACAACCATAATCTGTGACCATAACATACCTTCTGAAAACATAGCAGATCCATCGGCTCGAGACAAAACCTGCAGCTTGCATTTTAGATTTAAATTGTTCTCAAACGATTCAATAACCTCCATATCAAATATAAATAAATGTATGTTATAAATACAATTAGAAATTAAATATTAAATAAAACCATTTGAAAACACACAAATTTGAAATTTTATAGGGTTATGTTAAACGTCAAAACGTGATACATTTGAACTACTCTGGCCACAGAACAAGAACTAACGTTTAATATTTAATATTAATCTGTGATATTAATGTCATTCCTGTCGACGTTGACAGTTCTTTCAGCCTTCAAAACCTGAAATTTGTCAATAAAAATGATTCATTTTTGTTGATTTCTTTTTCCTTTTTGTTTCTTCCTACACATTTAAGAACATTTTATGTCTGGCAGTGAAAGCGAGGATATCGACACCGTCTCAGAAACAACCAGACTGATGGACGGCCATGTCGCTACGAACAGTGGAAATAATCCTTTGGAAGTGAAAAATGAGGTGCCCAAACGGCGAAGTAGAAAAATCGAGCCATCCAGTCCGGTCACAGAGTCCGAGCCTGGGACTCCTCCACCAAACGTATGAGAAAACGAGCTATTTATTATTAAAATACACACTCATCTGTTTTTACAGGTCAATGATGAGATACAACGGTTAAACGATGAGGAAGAACTGAAGTATGGGGCGAAACATGTCATTAAACTATTTGCTCCTGTATCTCTATGTATGGTAGTGGTAGTAGCTACAATCAATTCAGTAAATTTCTACTCTGTAAAAGACATATACTTGTATGTGATACAGACAACACTTTCTTTCATAAAAAAAACTAATTATTCAAAATATTTTAGTGTATACACTCCATTCCATGAAGAAAGTCCAGACAGAAGTACGAAAGCATGGAATGCAGTAGCGAATTCTCTTATATTAATGTCCGTTATTGTTGTAATGACAATAGTTTTAATTTTACTATATAAATATAGATGGTATAAAGTTATACACGGATGGCTCATAGTGTCGTCCTTAATGTTACTGTCCGTTTTTAGTTATTTATATTTAGAGTAAGTCAGTCCTTAATTATGTTTTGATGTACTTTAGACCTATTTTTCTTTGTAGAGAAGTATTGAGGGCTTACAATATTCCAATGGATTATATAACTTTGGTAGTGTTGATGTGGAACTTTGGCGTGATGGGAATGATATGCATTCACTGGCAAGGTCCCCTTTTACTGCAACAGGCCTATCTGATTTTTATTGCCGCACTAATGGCTCTAGTTTTTATCAAGTATCTTCCAGAGTGGACTACATGGGCTGTATTAGCTGTTATCTCGATCTGGGGTAATTTTTATTATTTTTTTCTGTAAAAAATACTTATTTTAAATGATTTTTTTTTAGATTTAATAGCTGTATTAACTCCAAAAGGTCCTTTAAGGATTTTAGTTGAGACTGCTCAAGAAAGAAACGAACCTATATTCCCAGCTCTGATATATTCTTGTAAGTACTCAACAAATAACATTAGAATATATATTATTATTGTTTTACAGCTACATACATGTATACAGCGATGGCCGCTCCTGATAACGAGCAACCGAACCAATCAGACAGTGAAAACCATGGTTTTACTCAAGAATGGGTTAATAACCATGCAAATAGAGTTGCAAGGAGACAACTTGAGGTACATGAAGAGCCCGGTGGTGAAATAAGAACTCAGATCCTTGAACAGCACGAAATAATTCACGATGAAGAAGAAAGTAAGCTTTCATAAGTCTTATATTGAAGAAAATCACTTATATATTACATTTTTAGGGGGTGTTAAGTTGGGACTGGGAGATTTTATATTTTACAGTGTACTAGTTGGAAAAGCTTCGTCTTATGGAGACTGGAACACTACACTTGCTTGTTTCGTTGCCATTTTAATAGTAAGACTTAGGAATTCAAAATAAAAATGTGAAATAAAAACTTTTATTTTTAGGGTTTGTGTCTGACACTTCTTCTGTTGGCCATATTCAGAAAAGCCCTTCCTGCCCTACCAATATCTATCACGTTTGGTCTCGTTTTCTATTTTGCAACCAAAGAAATAGTCAGCCCCTTCGCGGATAGTCTGTCCAGCGAACAGGTTTTTATTTAAGTAATTCCCTATTTTTATATTGTTTGTATTTTTAAAAAAGTTATTTCAAGAGAGATAACATTACTAATTTGAAAATTATTTATTTTAATTCGGTTTTAATAATGCTGTACCTTTTTCTCCCTACAGACTGCGTTAAAATTTTTATATCCTATAATATGTGTAATAAAATAATGATAAGATTAAAAAAATAAAGGCATGGCATTCCAAAAACTTATTTATTGCTTAACACTATGACCAATCTTTTTATTATCACTTGTTTGTTGTTGATTATTTCTGTCTAGAGAATAATCTAAACATTCTACTACACTTTCGGGATTTTCCACCCACAGCTTGTAGTCTTTATTTTTACATGGAAAAACCTTAGTAGTTGAACATAAAAGACAATGATGTAGCAGTTTCTTCTTTTTTATTCTTACTTTACACGTAATTCCGGGTAAAAGTAATGATCTACACCCTTTACATATTGTTCTTTTAATCTCGACATCCCTAGAAAGGTGTAAATTTTGACTAAATTGATTGCAATTAAGCTGGAGATGTACTTACAATCTTTGAACAGCCTTTTTAGATATATTGATCATTAAATTTGAGTACTGAACCGAAGCTCTGTGAGAAGCTTTGCTTTGTGTTGACATCGCATTACAAATCTACAAGAAATAATAGGTAGTTTTTATGGAATTCCAATAAAATTAAGATAAAAACCTGGTACAGATAATTCATTCGTTGAAAGCTCTCCATCCCTGCACACTTTTTAATCTTGTTCATGATTGTTTAATTTTATTTTAAACTATTTTAATTCAAACGAAAAATAATAAGCTTGATTTATTTACTTCTTTATTTTTGTTGTTGTCTTTGTCTAATAATTAACCACAGAATATAGTTTAATATCTCTTCTTTTGATTATTTTTCTGGCTAGATGACCTATATGAGTTTAAGCCATGTAAGAATGAAGAAGAAGAAGAAAATCTATGCCGAATCTGTGGTTGCCGATGTTTAGGCCCATAAAAACGAAAAGAAGAAGAACGCAGGTGGCGCCATAGGGAAAAAGTGAGCAAATTTTGAACTAAAATATTTCCAAGGTTGCCAAGATGTCAGAGAAATCCTAAATTTAATCTGAATCAATATTTTTGTAAGTCTAAAATGAATTGAACCGTTACAAAATTATGATAAATCTAATTAACATATAATGTAAACTTTGTTTCAGTAGAATAAATAATATATTTTCTTCTAAATACAGCATTATTTATGCTGCAAAAATGCGACCATTTTGTTTTACATGTGCTCAATTTGACAACGTTGACGTGCCACATTTTTCGTTGTTAACGGCAAGAAGTTTTGATTTGGTTATGTCGCTCTCAAACATTTTCAGATTTTTTATAGAAAAAGTGATATTTCTGTGCGCCCTTAGAGTTTATTCTGTTCCTTAAGGTCTGTTTAATCTCCCGAAATTGTAAGCACCCATTATTTTGTCTTTTTTCTATAGATTTTTTCACTTACAAATATTTCAATTACATCATCACTTAAAAGTAAATTTTTCCAATTTTCTTTTTCAAAATCGAGTATATGGAAATATAGCTACATTCCTTGATGTCTCATTCATCAAAAATAAAGCTATTCAGAGTAGTGTCTGCATTTAGGAGATATTAAGTACTTTTTTGACTATTTTTTTGGTAGATTCTAAAAGGGTTTTTTATTCCTTAAGGTAGTTTTTGTAGGTGTTTATTCGTTCAGGCAAACAAGTATTTTTCTCGTCTTTTAGAATAAGTCAGCGTTATGGTAATAGGTGTACTTCTAGTTAAAAAACGGTCTCTTTACATTCTTTTTAAATTCACTCTGTCGTAATAATGTTTTAGTTAACAAATTTGCATTGTTTTAATATAATGTTTTAATTATAATTTTCTTTTTAGGAGTGTTAAATAATGCAAACCAAGCACATAAAGACCTCTAAAAGAAGAGAGCTGATCACCCTTTATATAACTCTGATGTTTGGCCATAAATTCTTGCTGCTGAGATTGATTTTACATTATCCAGTCAAAAGTGTAAGTTTTATATTATTGAAAACAATTATTACTACCTCTTATTCTTTTAGAAGGAGTCGGTGTTAGTATACCTAAAATGAGCCCCCATGCTCAATAATTTTACATTATATTAATACTTTGAGATCAAATACTTCTACACACACATTGTTTTAATACTCTCATGGCCAATGTCAGGCCATTTATGTTAATAATTTTCTAACATCTTTTAATATTAAAAAGGCTTTAATAATTATAATTTTCTTTTTAAGGGCATTTCATTAATAATACAAACCAGCACCAAAAAGAAGAGACCTGGTGACCTCTCAGATAATCCCGATGCAAGTTTCCACATCATATTCTAGCGCCTACTTAGCTGTTCCTTCCATTGTATGGGTTAAAGGTGTTTAATTTATTATTTTAAAAATAATTTTAGAAAAATTATTAAAAGTTTATTAACACACTAACAATATTTCTTAAGATATATCTTAATAATGAAAAGAAAAGAATAAAATACAACTATTATAGCATAATTGAAAAGTGGAAATACTAAAGGGGGTAAGTGCCAAAATTATTTTGAGATAAAATGAGAAAACACAGTAAAAAATTTTAAAATATCTTTAATATACATGAAAAAAGACTTTGGTTTTGACACTTGTAACTTTGTTAGGACATGTGTAGCATGGCAGTTCTTAAGCATAATGCAAATAACTTACACATTGAAAAAATTTGCACCCCACCCCCTTTGCTATTCCCACTCTCAATTAATGAAACGTATCATTATTTATTTCTTATTTTACAGATTTTGTACAACCAATCGATAGATGTATACAATATATACCAGGGCAGTACATTTATCTTTTTCAAGACTATTACCAACAATGCTTCAGGAAGTATATATTTAAAATTCTATTTCTTTGAGTAAAACTTCATTTGTACTGGTTTTTAGTGTTTATCAGTGGATTTCATAATTTATAAATTTAATTTTTTTTTTTTTTTTTTTTTATTATTTTTTTAACATTGTTTTATTTTTATGGTTTCTTATTATAAGAAACAAAATCAGACCGTTTATTTTAATTTGGATCAATTTTTGGCTTTAGGTCATTTTTTCTTTGGTGGCACATCATCCACCTAGAACTTTACTTATGAAGTACATCAAGATGTTTTTTCATTCTTGATGCTTTAAATTTGTGATAGTTTTTTTTTTTTTTTTTTTTTTTTTTTTTTTTTTTTTTTAATAAATAATAATACAATTCATTGATTCTATAAAACGTGTTCCATACATTTTCCTTGTATTTGTATTGTTTTTCTTTTTTTTTTTTTTTTTTTTTTTTTTTTTTTTTTTTTTTTTTTTTTTTTTATTTTGTTTTTGTATACAGTAATAATTTTCATGCTTCATTTTTAGGACCATATACCATGAATTGCTGTAACTTTGTTTAAATTCTATTGGTTTATTTTGTTTGTATTTAAATATAATTTTAAATACTCTATATAAATACATTTAAAAAAATCTTAAAATAAGGGCAATTCCCTCATGCATTCAAGCATTTATTTAAACATGATTCGTCCACAGGATGTCACTTCCGCCTTTCCTAGTATTTTCCAGTAAATTTTTTTGAGTAACATCGACTTCAGAGCATCATAACTAGCCTCCCCTAAGAGGAGGAGACCCGGGTCACCCCCTAACCCTGATGTTCGGGCATCGATGACCCATGTAGCATGCATAGGTACCCAAGGGAGTCACCACCCTCTGGTTTACGAGCTAGGTGTTTTAACGCTAGAGGCTTCGGACGTATACGACCTGGCACCCAAGCTACGAGACTTCTTCGTGCACGTATCCCGTGACGTCTCGACAGTAGAGGGGACGGGATATCGGACACATTGAAGATGATGAGGGGGGTCCGCCTGTAGGGGGTCCTGGTGGATGTCCGCTCGACGGGTGACGAGGGTGACCCGAGACGAGGCTGCTTAGCTGGGATGGGAACTGACTGGCGAGGCTTAATCATCGGACAAGGGTTAAATCTGATTAAGGGGGGCGAACTTATATGCTCTGGAGGATTATTCATTATGTGCTTGATGTTAAATTTTGACAATATCTTTGTTCAATCTTCTAGTTTTTATTGACTACATACTTTTATATTTTATTACACACCTTTGTCAAGGCATATTTCACCAATTCTGTTGCCTGTAATTAATCAGTGCTGTAAACTCTTCCAATGATTATCCTTTTGTGTCTTCTTCCTGAGATTCTCCTAAGACTCTTATTTTAACATTTCCCATTGCCTGTATAGAATTATAGTTTTACTAATTTCCATGCCATTATTTCTTCCAATTCTCTCCTTTTCATGCCATTTTTTTCAATGCATCATAATTTATTTCATTTTTTATCTCCCATATATTTTCTCCCTATTGAATGTCATCATTCATCATTTCTATAAATTTTCTAATTGATTGTAATTTCTCAGTCTCTTTATGTATATAATTGTGTATGTATAATTTTGTGTCATTCTTCCTGAGAATTTGTCCTAGTCTCATCAGTCATTTTCATATGCATTTTCAATCTCTACATACCCCATTCTGTAATTTTGCCTTCTAATATCTCTATCTCTGTGAACCAGGAATGAATATTAATATATGTATTTCCAAAAATCCTTACATTTTACTTGTATAATTTTGGAGTTGTCATTCTATGTCAAGATTTACTTTCTCTAAAGCATTTTATTTCTATTGTCTATTTTAGGGTTGTAGTTTTGCAATCATTTTCATGCCTTTTTCAATTCATCATACCATACAGAGTAAAACTTAATTAAATTTAAAAAAAAAATTCTATTATTTTTCTTTAATTGATTGTATTTCTAAGTCTCCTCTTGTATTTAGATTATTGTTTATTTTGATTGACATGTTCTATGCAAGACTCTTGTGGTCTCTTTTTTTCTGCCATAGAATTGTATAGTTTTGGATCCATTTTCTAATTCTATTTCTTTTATTCATTTCTAATTCTTTTTAAAATTGAGTTTTTGATTGGGATATTGTACTGCTTTGGAACAAGGATTTTTTTGGACAGCTGCACTTCAATTCAACAACCCTCTTCAAGATGCCTTTAGCTTCATTAAATTTAACATTCAACAGCGGATTGAGAATAAAAATCATCATTGAAGAGGAACAAAATAATTTTAGGTAAAGTACACTAAAAAGTATGTGTCTAAGTTAGTCTAAATAAATTTATTTTTATTTTCAGATCATCAAATTTTTGGAAATCATTCTATAAAAACTGCAGCTGGTACTGGTACTTCTGTTTTTTCTCCATTGGACACATCTCAAGAAGACTTATAGTAGAAACACTAAAAATGTTGTTTTAAAGGATTTATGAATTTTGTTTTATATAAATTAGTCTTTACTTTTTTGGAAATTGTAAAAGAAAAATTTTGAAATGTTGAATTCTGTAATTTATACACATAATTTTTAAATATTTAAGTTCAAAAAAAATCTTATATCATGAAGAGTATATTTGAGTAGATTCCAATTGTGTAAAAATACAGAATTCAAAACTATCAAAATTTTAATTTTATTCTTCAACATTTTTTTGGCACTTGAAACTTTATACTATACAATCAAAACGTTTTCTGATCAAGCAGGCTTTGATTTTATAAGATATTTACTAAATATAATGTTTTAGTAATTGTATATTTGATAATTATCATATGTAATGTAATAAAATTTAAATTGTATCATATGATAATTATCATGTTGTATTATTATAATTATCATAGATAATTATAATATAAAGGCCCAATACCAAATGTACAAAAAAAAAGTCCGAAAATAAAAATCTT